AGCCGTCATCACACACGGTTCCCCACCGCTCGTTGTGAAGCACCTCCACTCTCCCGGCACAGCGGTTCGGGCCTCCCACCAGCCGCAGGTTGGAGGATGGTGCCGTGTCCGACCCTGCAAACACAGCAATGTGGAAGACGTCCTTAGAGAACTTCTTGCCCACCTGAGTCTCCCTGCTTCCAACACAGCTCCTTGTCTCTATGCTGGACCCCCTCTAGAAGCTCCACGTCCCTCTTATCCTGAGGAGCCCAGAACTGCCCACAATACTGTGAGTGCAGCCTCACCAGAACTGAGTAGAGGGGAGGATCCCCTCCCTCGCCCTGCTGGCCACACTTCTCTTGATGCAGGCCGATATCCCATGGGCCTTCTTGGCCACGAGGGCACATTGCTGGCTCATGGTTAACCTCTTGTCCACCAGCACTTCCAGATCCCTCTCCATAGAGCTCCTTTCCAGCAGGTCAACCCCTAATCTGTCCTAATGCCTGGAATTGTTCCTCCCCAAGTGAAGGACCCTGTGGTTTCCCTTGTTGAACCTCATGAGATTCCTCTCTGCCCAACTCTCCAGCCTGTCCAGGTCCCTCTGAATGGCAGCACAGCCGTCCAGAGTGTTGGCCACTCCACCAAGTTGGGGATCCTCTGTAAACTTCCTCAGGGTGCCCTCTGTGCCCTCGTCAAAGTCCTTTGTGAGCAAGTCGAACAGCACCGGACTGAGTACTGATCCCTGAGGGGACACCACTGGCCACAGGTCTCCATCTAGATTCAGTCCCGTTTATGATGACCCTCTGAGCTCTGCCATCCAGCCAGTTCTCCATCCACCTCACTATCCACTCACGTAACCCACGCTTCCACAGCTCCTCTATGAGGAGGGTAGTGGAGGCGGTCTCAAAAGCCTTGCTGAAGTCAAGGTAGACAACATCCTCTGCTCTCCTCCCATCCATCCAGACAGCCATCCCTTCATTGAAGGCTACCAGGTTGGTCAAACACAACTTGCCCCTGGTGAATCATTGCTGACTACTTCTGATCATCTTCTTTTCTTTCATCACATGCCTAGAGATGGTCTCTGGGATGGGATTTTGCAGGACTGTGGGTTACCTGAGCACACCACACCAGCGTCTTCTCCATGGTTGCAGTTATTCTGCCCCCACGGGCGGGACCTGCACTGGGAGAGGGCACCTTCATTCCCCATACAGGTCACGTCGTCCAACCAGATGGGTCCTGAGCCTTGCCCAAAGTGAGCCCCGATGGGGGCGGACTCGGCCCTCCCGCAGCCCAGCTGCCTGCACACCACCATGGCATCGCTGAGCTTCCAGCCGTCATCACACACGGTTCCCCACCGCTCGTTGTGAAGCACCTCCACTCTCCCGGCACAGCGGTTCGGGCCTCCCACCAGCCGCAGGTTGGAGAATGGTGCCGTGTCCAACCCTGCAAACACAGGAATTTGGAAGACGTCCTTAGAGAACTTCTTGCCCACCTGAGTCTCCCTGCTTCCAACACAGCTCCTTGTCTCTTCCTTCAGGCAGAGAATCCTAAAATCATAGAATCCTTAAGGTTGGAAGCAACCTTTAGAGATGATCTAGTTCAACCATCTAGCAATCCAGAGCAAGTCCTCTGCCAAAGCTGCCCTTCTAGTGAAGAACTCCGGAGAGGAACTCTCAAGTGTGAGTCATGACACATAGATCCTGGCTGCCCTTTGTGCTGGATGGGGCCATGACGTCCGAGAGAACTCAGAGGAGTTCTCTTGGAGTTCTATGAATCAACCCAAGACAATCCGAGGTAGTGCCAATCCTCCAGCCCCTGGATACCACATTTTGGGGCACTGTGACTCACCTGCGCACACCACACTAGCATCTTCTCCATGGTTGCAGTTACTTTGTCCCCATGGGCGGGCGCGGCACTGGGAGAGGGCAATTTCGGTCCCAGCACAGCTCACGTCATCCAGCCAGATGGGTCCAGATCCTTGTCCAAAGTGAGACATGCCGGGGGCTGAGTCCGCCCGCCCGCAGCCCAACTGCTGGCACACCACCATGGCATCGTTTAGGTCCCAGGAGTCATCACACACGGTTCCCCACTGGCCGTCATAAAGGACTTCTACTCTCCCAGCGCAGCGATTCGGGCCGTTCGCTAGTCGCAGATCAGGTGAAGTCAAGTTTCCTGCATTTGCAAAAAAAAAACGTAATTATCGACGTGCAGTAATTCCTCGTGAGTGCTCGCTAGTGCCTCTTGGTGGCAGAAGAGCCTCCAAGGACTCAGTTCCACCTCATCCCATTTAACATGCCCCATGCAGATACCCCTGGATGGGGAGCGCGGAGGAGGCCAGCCTCAACATTAAAGGAAGAACATTGTCATGGCCAGACATTGCCCTTCTATTGAAGGAATAGGCCACGCACTTTGCTGGACAGGACATCTGGTTTGGGGTGCTCCATGTTGCAATGAAAACCAGGGGTGGAAGAGTCAAATTGGAGATAGCTGCGAAAGGAGCACTCCTAAGCACAGCATGTGCTCTGGAGAGACCTTAGACCCTGGCCTAGACACCACATTCATCTCTGCTTTGGAGGCTGCCTCTTACCTAGGCACATCACACCTGCATCTTCTCCGTGGTGGCAATTGTGGACGCCCCAAGGCTTTGCTTTGCACTCCAAGAAGTCCGTCTCCGTTCCTTTGCAGCTCACGTCGTCCAGCCAGATACGGTTCGATCCCCACCCGAAACGAGCCGAGCCTGGGGCTGAGATCGCCGTCCCGCAGCCCAGCTGCCGACACACCACCATGGCGTCGTTTATATCCCAGTTATCATCGCAGACCGTCCCCCACTCGTGGTTATAAAACACCTCAACTCTCCCGGCACACTCATTCATACCATCCACCAGCCGAAGCTTAGAAGTATTGGAAATCCCTGATCCTGAAAAATAAAAAACACGGAAAAACACATGGTTAGGAATGTTCTCATACATCTTCAAGCCGGTTAGGCTGGAGAATGCAGAACGTATCTGCAACAGGTTTGAATGGTGTTGACACCCGGAGCTTCCAGAGACTTTCTGCGTCCTTGCAGGGACTGCAGATCTGCTTTCGGGGCAGAAGGGACATCCCTTTAACCTGCTGCAGCCCGAGGGGATACGACATATTGGCTGCCCACCAGTTCAGAGGTAGGAACGGGAGAAAACACATGAATCTCTATTTGAAGGACACACTGCTTGCAAAAAATTGTCAAAATATAGTAAGAAAATCTGTAATTTGTCTGCTTTTTTTTTAGACCTTTGATCATATCCAGCTGTGGATGCCAAGGAAAGAGCAAGGAAATGGTGCAACCTTCTTGCTATAGTCTCCCACTCTCTGGCCTCTTGGAGCTCAAGGATTTATTCAGTTCTGGACACTCGAATTATTACTTCAAGTCTGTATCTTGCAGAAATTTGGGATTTTATCTTTCTGCAGGGAAAGCAGGAGATGAAGATTACCTGTGCACGTAACGCTGGCGTCTTCCACGTGATTACATCCGTGTTGGCCCAAGGGCTTGGCTGAGCACTCAGATAGCGTAGCTTCTGTCCCAAGACACCCCACTCCATCCAACCAGATGGGTCCAGATCCTTGCCCAAACAGAGATGAACCTGGCGCCGACACGGCTGTCCCGCAGTCCAGTTGCTTGCACACCACCTTGGCGTCATTCAGATCCCAGTTGTCGTCACACACGGTGCCCCACTGCTGGTTGTGGAACACCTCAACCCTTCCAGAACACCTATCTGGGCCGTTCACCAACCGCAGGTCTTCTGAGCTTCTTGGAACTGTGTCTGAAAACAAAGTTGGGACATAATAAATCCTGTTTTAAATTACGATATGGTTGCTAGCCATGCCATGAGGCACAGAGTCATCCTATTATATTATATCCTATAATATCTTATATTATTTAATATAGGATTATTTGGTCTCTCTGGATGGGGAGTTGGAAACCACCTGGGCTTCCTGCTAGAGCACATCTTGGTCTACAGTTTTATACTAACGTTGTGTAAGGAGTTTGAAGGCATTAACAGCGTTTAGAATGACTGGGTTAGGACCACGCCTTGCAGTGAACGTGGCCACCCAGATGTCTTCCTCACCCAACTGAGCTTGATTTCTTTCTGTATGCTAAAATATTCACTCTCAAGTGACCAGACATGAGGCATGTGCCTCCTAAACCTGTGCTGAGACATTAACATCCATCACCCAGCAGAGAAGGTTCAGGGTTGGAAGGGACCTCTGGAGATCATTGAGTCCAACCTTGCTGCCCCAGCAGGGACCCATTGCCCCTTGTCCTGGCACTGGCCACCACTGAGAAGAGCTTGGCCCCTTCCTCCCTGCATTCCTCCTTCATGAACTTCTCCATGTTAATGAGATCCCTCCTCAGCCTTCTCTTCTCCAAGACCCAACTCACTCAGTCTCTCCTCATACAAGAGATGCTCCAGTCCCTTCATCATCTTTGTCACTCCCCACTGGACCCTCTCTAGGAGCTCCACAGTTTTGCTAGTGAAAAGTCCAGTTTATGCCTTACACTCAGTCTCAGTTTCACAAACATGTCCAGCTTGATCTCCACAACTATTAGAGTGTGTCTATGGGGTGTAGGCGGCAATTTGTCAGAAGATTCAAGCCAAGCCAAGCCAAGGCTCACCATAGCCAAGGCTGGCTGCTCAGAAGACAGTGCTTCCCTTAGCACAAGGCAAACTTACTTGCATCTACAAGGAAAACCTTTTCCCCACAGGGGACCACAGAAGCAAGAAAACATTCTTTATGATTGTCTAGAAAGACGGGACAAGGCAGAACTGGATGAGCATGACCTTCTTGTTGGGGAGCTGATACCTAACTCATCGACACTGACCTGCAGCTTCAGCTGCGGAGCACGTAACACTGGCGTATCCTTCAGACTTGCAGTTCTGGAGACCCCAGAGTTTGACCTTGCATTCTAAGAGGGCCTCTTCCGACCCTGTGCACTCCACAGCGTCTACCCAGATCAGGGAAGATTCGTTTCCAAACTGGGAAGAGTGAGCGACTGAGTGCGCCGGCCCACAGCCCAGCTGCCTGCACACCACGTGGGCTTCAATCAGGTCCCAGCCGTCTTCACACACTGCTCCCCAGCGCTGGTCGTGAAATACCTCAACTCTTCCAGAACATGGAGACGAGCCGTTCGCTAAGCGGACACTTGCTAGGTCGGCAATGCCCGATTCTGGAACGACAAAGCATGAGCGTGTAAGGAAGTACCTTGTGCTCTTTGAAACCTTTGACCACCAGCATTGGGTTTACTCAAGAGTCTTCTGGACAAGGCTGCACTTACTAAAACAGGGCAGTCTACTGAGGTGTGATGCCAGCTGGCTTTAAAATGGTCAATACTGCCCAGGGCTTGATTAGAATGGTTTTGTAGGACAATAGTCAGTGGACCTTCTAGAGGGATTCAGTGTCTCTTCAAGCGACACATGTGATAGGATTCAGGTTAGCCATGATAACAACCCTAACGAAGGAACGTTCATCCATACTCCTGCCTTTCCTCTTGTGAAGAAGTGGGTCACCATACTAACCTGCCTGGTGGGAATGGTATGTGATCCATAGGAGCTGTGGTGAACAGCACTGTCCAAAGGCATGCCGGGGGCTCTACTGATGATGCAACGATGCCCATCTTGAAGTCATTTCTAATTTCTTGTACTTTAATGTACAAGAAAATGGGCGGTATACACGCTGCCCACTTCCACCAGGACAGGGAAAGAAGGAGGAGAAGGACAAGGAGGAGGAGGAGGAGGAGGAGGAGGAGGAGGAGGAGGAGGAGGAGGAGGAGAAGGAGAAGAAGAGGAGGAGGAAGAGAGGAAAGGGGAACACGGCAAAGGGGGAGGAGGGAGAGAAGGAGGGCGGGAAGGAGCGAGGGGGCTGTGGCAGGAACACTAACCTTATGAATTCTTACTCTGGAATTTTAATTGGCAGATCTATAAGTAAAAACGTACCCAGCTGCAGAGGGCTGCTCCCCAGCCCCAAGATAATAGCAGAACCTTGGAGCACAGTTTGCTCAAGCCTGAAAACAGCACGTTTTCCTCAGGTGGTGTTCAGCCACACCTTAGCTAAGGCCGCTTTGATAGCAAGAAGTTACTCTCCTCCCGATTTGTTCGGGAATAGGGCTTCTCGAAGGCATGCTTTATCTTAAAATCTACTCCTTTTATTGCTTCGCTTATGAGATGTTTCCTACTCCTTTTTATAATAAATTTAGCGACGCAGCAACCTTGAACTCTATTTTTATGTAAAGCATTGTTCAAAGAGCTTCCGAAAATTGTAGCAGGAAAGTGAGAAAGGCCTTTGAAATATTAAGACAAGCTTCATAACTGCAACACCAACTTTCCTTTTTTTTTTTTTCCTCTCTTTCTCCTTTTTTTGCACCAAATTAAGCGCAGGTACGAAAGCCAAGTCACAGTTTCCACTCGGTGCAGATGCCCGTTACTAAGTTCATCGGGTGGCATGTGAGACCCCCAGGCACCGCTGCTCCCCCCCCCAGACCCACAGGCGGTTCTCGCAGGCACCATCACCGCGTTTAAAGGTAGCTCAAGGAAACGTTTGTCCGCACCCTCCCAAAGCCGTTTTCTTTTCCGTTTCGGAGAACTTACTACAACGAAGACAAGCGCCTTGGTAACAAAAAACCACCCTGCACGTTGCTGTACCTCTATAAACGCCAGCGCATTCCTACCCTGGAGAGGAGACCGCCTCTGAACTGCACCTCAGCCTTCCTGCGCGCTACGGGGACCGAAGCAGCAGCAACCTCGGAAGTTGCAGGGAGTTTTAACGCGCAGAAAGCAAGCGACGTTGCCACCGATGCGCGCCTTTAAAGCCGCCGTCCCCGCCGCGCACGAAGAGCAAGAGGCAGCGCTCAGCTCGGCCGGGCTGCTCTGCTAAGCAGCCTCCTTTCCGCCGCAGCGGAGCAGCGGCCGCGGCGCGGGGCGAGGCAGAGCGCGCACCTCGAGCCCGGGCCGCGCTCGGACCGTCTCGGGCAAGGCGCGCAGCTCCGCGCGCGGCAGGAAGCGGCGGCCGCACGTGCCGCGCTCGCCTCGCTCCCGACGGCAGTTCCCAGAAACTTCCCCCCCGGCGCAGGAAAGAAAACAAAATAAATAAATAAATTAAAAAAAANAGGAAAGGAAAGGAAAGGAAAGGAAAGGAAAGGAAAGGAAAGGAAAGGAAAGGAAAGGAAAGGAAAGGAAAGGAAAGGAAAGGAAAGGAAAGGAATATGAGGGATTATTTCCAGTGAAAAGGGTCCTCAGGTTGGCTGGGAGCTGTTTTGCATGACAAGGCTTTATGACCACATGGAAAAGCAGAGTCAAGAGTGATCCTAAGGAAGAGGGTTGGCACCACAGCAATAGCACCAGGCTGCCGCGATGCTCCTGGTTCGGCGCCAGACCACCGTTACCTGAGCACACCACGCTGGCGTCTTCTCCATGGTCACAGCCGTGGACTCCCCAGTCTTTGGCCTTACACTGGGAGAGAGCGGCTTCTGTCCCCGTGCAGTTGACCTCGTCCAGCCAGATGGGGTCCTGCCCCCGACCAAAGAGAGCCCTCCAGGGAGCCGCTATCGCCATGCCGCAGCCGAGCTGCCTGCACACCACCGCCGCGTCCAGGAAGTCCCAGCTGTCGTCGCACACCGTTCCCCACTGCTCCTTATGGAACACCTCGACTCTCCCAGCGCAGCGACCCGGGCCGTCGACCAGTCGGACTGGAGCGAAGCTGGACACCGCCGAGCCTGCAAGTAGACACGCAGTGAGAGCAATCCCAGCACATCCAGTCTCCACGCAAAAGGATAAAGGACCTTCATTTTGGCCCACGACCTGGCAATGCTGCATAGAACGTCAGGGTTACGTTGCTTCTGAATCCACAAAAAACTTAAAATCCCAGAATCACAGAATGTTCAAGGTTGGAAGGGACCTCTAGAGAGCATCGAGTCCAACATCTAGAGATCATCGAGTCCAACCCGACACACTCAGACAGGGAAACCCACCCTCGAGGTCCTCAGAATCTCCAAAGCTGGAAGGGACCTCTAGAGATCATCTAGTCCAACATCTAGAGAGCATCGAGTCCAACCCAACACACTCAGACAGGGAAACCCACCCTCGAGGTCCTCAGAATCTCCAAGGTTGGAAGGGACCTCTAGAGATCATCTAGTCCAACCTTCCTGCTCCACCAGGGACACCCAGAGCATGGGGCACAGGGTGACATCCAGGTGGGTTTGGAGACCTCCAGAGAAGGAGACTCCCCAGCCTCCCTGGGCAGCCTGCTCCAGGGCTCGGGCACCCTCCCAGTGCAGAAGTTCCTCCTCACCTGGAGATGGAACCTCCTGGGTTTCAACTTCCACCCATTGCTCCTTGTCCTGTCCCTGGCCACCACTGAGAAGAGGTTGGCCCCTTCCTCCCTACATTCACCCTTCATGAACTTATCCACGTTAATCATATCCCCAGTGCTAGGAAGAACCTTGGATGGAGGACTTGGAGTGGCTGCAGGAGAGTGGTCGGTGTGTCCTGGCTCACTCTTGGTAAGAGTGAAAATCTCAGGGACTGAAGCTCACCTGAACATACCACGGTGGCGTATTTTCCGTGACTGCAGCTACTATTTCCCCACGGACTTGCCCTGCATTTATTAAGGGCCGTTTCTGTCCCGGTGCAGCTCATGTTGTCCAGCCAGATGCGGAGAGGTTCCGCACCGGCGTAGGCTTCGCCTGAGGTGGACAGCGCCGTCCCACAGCCCAGCTGCCGACACACGACCTCAGCGTCACGGTTGTCCCATCCGTGGTCGCACACGGATCCCCACTGCTCGTCGTGAAGCACCTCGACTCTGCCAGCACAGCGGTTTGAGCCGTTTGTGAGCCGAAGTTGAGCGGGCTCTGCAATAAGAGAGTCTACAAAGGGCGACAGTTACTAATCCCCTCAAACGGGCAGAGATTTCTTTTGATGCTTATCCCAGAACTAATGGGTCTTGTCCACCAAAGGTCACAGTGAGCAAAGGGGAGAGCAGAACACCTCAATACAGCCCGACACTCCTCCTAGGAATGCCCTGCGTCGTGGCATTGCCCAGAGGATGGTGATCTGTACTGGTCCTACAGTGCCCTTGTCCTCTGCAAGACCCCAGCCCCATTCCTTTTACCAGGCTTCCCTTAACAACTTGGCCTAACCATTGGAGGGCAGCCTGCAGAGCTCATGGAGAGAGGAATTGCTGCAGGACTTCATCCGGATGCCTTATCTATGCTTAAAAGAGTAGAACCCACCTTCAGAAGGAACCTGTTCCCACTCAACAAGACCAAGGAAAACAAAAAGACCAAGGAAAACCCATGGGCTGAAGCTAATACTGGGTCTGAACTCAGTCCCACGTAGACTTGCCCTCATTGCACCACCCGTCAACCCTCCAGTTTGCTCCACAGGACACACCCGGAGAGGTGTAGGGGGAATAGGGGTTACCTGAGCACACCACCCCAGCGTCTTCCCCGTGGTAGCAGTTATTTACTCCCCACGGTTTCGCCTTGCACTCGGCCAAGGTGGACTCGAATCCGATGCAGTTGATTTCGTCCAACCAAATCAAGTTAGTCCCTCGCCCAAACTGGGCGTCTCCTGGGGCTGAGAGTGCGATCCCACAGTCCAGCTGCCTGCATACGACCCCAGCATCCAGTAAATCCCAGCCGTCGTCGCACACGGTTCCCCACTGGTTTTGATAAAACACTTCGACCCGGCCGGCGCAGCGACTCGCGTGGTTCACCAGTCGGACCCGGTTGTCCCTGGCGTTAACTAAAAGAGGAGAATTCAGAGAGCGTTGAGCATGCTATACCCATATGACGTAGGTATATACGGCACCTATATGGTCTACGCAGCATGAGCTGCCTGCCCTGCTACCTCTGACGTGGAGTAAGATGGAGCAGCTCTATACAACTAAGAAGACATTGAGCTTGAGAGACCCACAGAGCACATCTAGGCACGGTAGTAAAGCATGGGGCGGACCCCTCAGGTTCAGAGCACGTTGTCCTTAGGAGCTGCCTGCTAACGAGGTGTTTCCCAATCATTAATTACTGTGGAAACGGGTTCATCCCACGTACTCTTTGAGGTCAGCAGCCCCATGGTACCTGTCTCAGCAACAGCTGAGACTTGGGCGAAACGAGGCCACTCAACATCAAGTTGCAACCTTGGTATCAGCTCTGAGGCCTCAGAAGAATGCCCCGAAATTGTCCTGACCATCACGGACCCCCCCCCCCCCCAATACTCATGGAGCCAAAACAAACACTCATGTAGACTGGACTGCCTGCAAGGCAGGGACAGAAAACCAAGATCATGAAGCAAACGTCACCTCCCGTCATCGTTCCCATGATGGTTACCTGAACACACCACACCAGCGTGTGTTCCATGATGACAACCGTTGCTTCCCCGAGGTCTCATCTGGCACGCGGCGAGGGCAACTTCTGTGCCTATGCACTTCACGGTGTCCGGCCACATTCTTCCGGTTCCTTCTCCAAACTGGGAGCTGCCTGGAGTTCCCAGCGCTGCCCCACAGCCCAGCTGCCTGCACACGACTCGCGCTTCAGCAAAACCCCAGTCGTCGTCACACACGGGCAACCAGGTGTCGTTGTGGAAGATCTCCACCCTTCCGTTGCAGTGATTCGAACCGTTGACTAGGCGAACGTTGTCCATGGCGAACATCTCGGAGGCTGCAAACAAGCGAGAATAAACACCCTGGGTGAGCCGTGGCCGTGGATACGCAGGGAATGCTCTGCTCCAGCCGGATGGACTTATGGCACAATGACCGTTCATCTACAACTTCTGCAGAACATCGAACCCTCAGCACCCCTGGGATGAACGCTCTGCTGATGCAAGAGGGGAAACGCAACCTGGATGCAGAGGCAGGAAAGTGGGAGGGTGAGTTAAACTTGCGGAGAAGTTTACCCGTTCCTGACTAATTTTCCCCGAGTTAAATGGACCACTGAGCTTGGTTTAGGTGTCCCGTAACTCCTGAAGGATTCCAGAGGTTCAAATGGCCATTGAATCTAGCAGGAGAGGAGAGCTGTGCTGTGGTTTAACCCCAGGGTCCAGGCAGCAGAGGTCTAAGAAGGATTTTTATGGATAGCCTTCTTCCCTGCACGCTGCTCTTTAGTCCTGCGGAGGAATTCTGCAGAGCGAAAGCTTTCCAAAGGAGACATACCCCAGGAGTTGTGCAGCGTGACCTGATCTTTCCCAAGTCATTGAATCATAGAATCATAGAATGCTTCAGGTTGGAAGGGACCTCAGAGGTCATCGAGTCCAACCTTTCTGCTCACGCAGGGTCACCCAGAGCACCTAGGCTGCGTCCAAGCAGGTTTTGAAGACCTCCAAAGAAGGAGCCTCCACAACCTCTTTGGGCAGCCTGTCCCAGGGCTCTGTCACCCTCAGAGTCAAGTCCCTTTACAAGACCCTAGGAGCCCTCCCATGTTGTGATGTGCTGGAATTGCGACCCCTTGCAGCGGAAGGTCTAACTGGGAATCACCTGAACATATCACCCCAGCATCCTCTCCGTGGTAGCAGTTGTTGTCTCCCCAGGCGCTGGCTCGGCATTCGAAGAGGGAGGCCTCTGTGCCCGTGCAGTTCACCTCGTCCAACCAGATCCTGTCGTGGCCTCTCCCAAAGTGAGCCCCGCTCACGGCGGCGCGCGCCGTCCCGCAGCCCAGCTGCCGGCACACCACCGCCGCGTCCGCGAGGTCCCAGTTGTCGTCGCAAACGGTGCCCCACAGGTGGTTGTGCAGCACCTCCACTCTCCCAGCACAGCGGTTGGGGCCGTTGAGCAGCTGGAGCGGGCCCAGCTCGGAAATACCGGAGTCTGCAAACATTGCGATGGAAAACGTCAGTGGGGAGCTGCAGAAAGCCACCGCTAATAGCGTGTGGATGGAGGAGAAGCAGGCACAGAGGTGCTGCTCAACCTGCTGTCCACAGTACTGCACATGTTGCAGGGCTATCACCATTACAGGATGTTCAAGGTTGGGAGGGACCTCTAGAGATCATCTGGTCCAACCTTCCTGATGTTCGAGGTTGGAAGGGACCTCTAGAGATCATCTAGTCCAGCCTTCCTGATGTTCAAGGTTGGGAGGGACCTCTAGAGATCATCTAGTCCAACCTTCCTGCTCTAGCAGGGACACCCAGAGCACGGGGCACAGGGTGGTGACCAGGTGGGTTTGGAGACCTCCAGAGAAGGAGACTCCACAGCCTCCCTGCACCCTCAGCCCTTACCTGCACACTCAACGCTGGCATCTTCCACATGGTGACAGTTGTGCTCTCCCCATTTCTTGACGTGGCATTCGGAGAGGTCCCCTTCTGCTCCTGTGCAGTTCACCTCGTCCAGCCAGATTTGACCCGTGCCTTCTCCATAGCGAGCCCCTTGGGAGATGGAGAGCACCGCCCCGCAGCCCAGCTGCCTGCAGACCACCTGGCCCTCGGACAGACCCCAGCTGTCATCGCACACCGTGCCCCAGGTCTCGTTGTAGAGCACCTCGACTCGCCCGGCGCAGTGGCTGGGGCCGTTCACCAGGCGAACTTCAACTGCGTGTGGAGCAGCTGAGTTTGCCAAGCCTGGAAGAGGAAGAGGAGACAGATGAAGGTTAGGAGATGAATCCTGAGGAAAAGACTCAGCTGCCCACACATCTGAGATGTCTCCTGCCCGCTACTTGCTCTTTGAAAGGGTTCTGGAGATGCTCTGAACATCCTGGAATTCCTTGGGTACCATAAGGCATCTCGTAGGGTCCTGGGTGTCTATTTTGAGGCAACTGGGCCCTATCTCTGCATGTCTTAGTCATCTTAACCACAGTCACCAACCCCCATCCCACTTAAGTAGTCCTTTTCACAGAATCCCGGAATATTCAAGGTTGAACGAGACCTCTAGAGATCATCTAGTCCAACCTTGCTGCTCCACCAGGGACACTCAGAGCACGGGGCACAGGGTGGCGTCCAGGTGGGTTTGGAGACCTCCAGAGAAGGAGACTCCCCAGCCTCCCTGGGCAGCCTGCTCCAGGGCTCGGGCACCCTCCCAGTGCAGAAGTTCCTCCTCACCTGGAGATGGAACCTCCTGGGTTTCAACTTCCACCCATTGCCCCTTGTCCTGTCCCTGGCCACCACTGAGAAGAGCAAGAAGAGCTTTTCCTGCTCACATAGTAGGTCCTTCTAAACAAGCATTTAGCATTAATAATATAAGGAAAGAGGCAGGTTCAAAAGAGAACACAACATGACATTGCTCTGCAGTGCAGCTGCAAAAAGGACTTTTGGGGAAACTGGGAGAGTCTGGTGGGACTAGGGGAGAGTTTTCCCAGTTTGCACGACCCCCACTGTGATATTGCCTTGGCAAAAGTACTAACACTTAGCAAAAGTACTAACATTTTGCAAAAGTACTAACATTTTGCAAAAGTACTAATGCTTTGCAAAAGTACTAACAAAATGTAGGGGTGCAGAAAGGAGTCATAAGTTAACTGGAAATTGGTAAAATAGAGAGCTTTTCTGGGTCAGCTTAACAAAATGTTCAGGAAACAATGTGACGGCGCTGTGCAAATAATTTTTTCACCGTGGATAATGATTTCCAAAGTGCCCAGATCAAAGATCTGTGCTCAGATCAAACACTGGTTTGCTGCTCCTTCTGTCTGCCACAATGCTGAGTCACAAGTTGCATCAGGAGCAGAGAGCTGCCCGTTTCCTAAACGAGGTGCCCCATACTCCAAAGCTTCAGCAGTGGAATACCTTCTGCTCTTGGTCTCTTATGACCATAATGAAAAGCAGTGGGCAATGCTGTCCACCTGAATTGACATCTACCTTCTAGAGATCTAGAGATCTCCGCTGGATACATATTGCACCTCTGAGTTATGACCTTCAGTGAAGATCTGAAGTGATGATCTGAAGATCTGAACATCTGAAGATCATCTGATCTGATGATCTGATGATCTGAAGATCTGAACATCTGAAGATCTGAACATCTGATGATCTGAAGATCTGAAGATCATCTGATCTGATGATCTGAAGACCATCGCTTCACCTTCAGTGCTGACCTGAAGATGCCCTAGTCTAACAAGCTGTGAGGACTTCACGAACTCAAGAAGCATGGGCTCAGGTGTAGCACAGAAGTCATAGGAGCTTGAAAAAATAAAGAAATATTTTAAAAAACAAGTGATCAGATTATCACTAGGAAGGTGTCTCCGCAAAACCATCCCTGGAAATTCATTTCCAGGATGAGACCGAAACAGATGTATTTTGAGAACTTGGTTTGCAGATTGCCATCTCTCCAGGCTAAAAGCAGTCCTGATTGCAGCCTTCTAGTCCTTTCTCTTTGGCCTCTTTGTTGTCCTTCCTCATTTTGGTTAGAAACGTTGAGGTTTCCATCTGTTCAGCAATAACAAATTAACCACAGAACCGCAACTTAGCAGAGCTGAGATATTTCTTGCAAGTTTTTGATTTTTATTTTGATATATTTCTCGCAAGTTTCTTTTTCGTGCAAGTTTTTGCAAGCAATGCCTTAGCAGGAGAGCATGAAATGAGGTTTCTTGACCAGCCTGGGACACCTCGCATTCGCCAAACGCCTGTGTTTGTTGAACAAGTCCCAAACCAGATGACTGCAAGCAAATTGGAGAATTCTAATTGTTGGATTAGAATTGTTGAATTATTGAAGACATGATCATCATACTGCAAGACCATGGAGCAGGATTTTCAGAAAAGTGGTAAGTTTTTAATAGCTCATCGAAGCAGAAATCCAAAGAAAATTAAAGGAAAGTGTTAATCTTGGAGAAGGGGGTACAAACTGGCCTTAGCAAAAATGGAAATCAAAAGGGTGTCAATACCAACAAGAAAATCAGGGCAATTAAGTTCTTAATTTCGCTTGCTCCAAACGTGATCAGAAGACAAGAACTTTGCACTCGCTGCTCGCAAACACAAAACGCAACGGAGAAGGTGCCCAAATCGAATAGCTGCTTCTTCTCTGAGATGTTGACGTCTCTCTACTTCATTAACTCGACAAGTGTTTGGTTCCTTCTTGTGCTGCACAGCCCTAGCCAGAGCCGAACTCACCATATCCAATGTTCTCCTGGTAAGCAGGGTGCTCAGTCCCCACTTGCTCATCCCTCCATCTCACGGGGAGCTGCCTGGCTCCCCCAGTGCTCCATGGCGTTGAATTTGGCCAGGCGTATTCCATGCTGCAGCAACAAGAAGCTGCCGTGCAAAGTCCTGGAGGAACGTGCAGGGCAGGAGGCCAGTTGAGATGTAGCTTCCCAACGATGGGAATGCTTCCTTCCACTCTTGCAACGCTCACAAGTTTCTGCTCTTTAACTATATTGGTAAAATGTTGACTTTAGAAATAGATGAGCATCACATGGCTTTGAGAATGCAGGCCATACAGCTATGGACTCCACAAAAAACCTTTCCTTCTTTCTCCAGTACCATCGTAAGCCTTTCCTCCCTATCCCAGGCCTACAAATGAAAGGCAGAACCCCGTAACGGTCTGTGCTGTGCTCCATGGAGTGCTGTCTAGAGAAGGACATGCTCCCGTAGTCAGAAACAAAGGCAGACACCACTCACCCCAAAGACACGCCATCAGCAGGAGGATCCCTGCGCTCTTGGTCCTAGTGCAGGTGGGTTGGTCGCCGCCCCAGTGGTATCTGGCTGAGGGATGGAGGCAGCCTGGAATCTCCATGCTCACCATTTCACCGTGGGATGGAGGTTGAACTTGATCATCCTCATAAGAGACACCAGCAGAGCGTCGTGTCCCCCCGGCAAACCAGGACGCTTGGAGAGCAAACAGGGCACTAGGGCACTAGAGAGGGAAGTGATATGAATTCCTGCAGTGAGCCCTCCTCCTGCTCTGTCCCCTCCCCGTCCTGACCCTTCCCCTGTACTTTGCAGTAAACCCTCCTCTTCCTCTGCACCACTCCCATGGACCCCATGACAGCGACTTGCCCCGGTGTGAAACTGTTCCAGAAAGTGACTCTCCGCTCCGTGCCATGGCTCGGTTTTGTCATAGCGTTGTGAAATGCAGAGCTGTTCCAGGAATATGCTGAGCAAACAAAATCCCCCTGGAACGGCCGGTTCTGAAGAAAACGGAGACGGGGCCGAAAGCGCTGAGGTCTTTTCCCAGGAATATCCAGAATCCTTCAATATCAACAATATCCTTCAAGGGGATTCTGCAGAGACAACCCAGAAGATTCAAGCCAAGGCAGTCCTAACTTCCCCTCCCAAGCAGCACAGATCTACCATGCATCCTGCTTATCTACACTAGTCCAGCGTAAGCTGGACAGATAAGCAGCCCAGGGAAGGGCTACTAAGATGATTGAGTGGAGGACCTCTTCTACGAGCAAAGGCTGCGAGATCTGGGACTGTTCAGCCTGGAGAGCAGAAGACTGAGAGGGAATCTTGTCAACGTGTATAAATAACCAGTGGAAGGGTGTGAAGAAGTTGGGGCCAGATTCTTTGAGTGGTGCCCAGCAAGAGGATGAAAGGCAGTGGCACGCTCTGAATCACAGAAAGACCCATCAGAACATGAAGAAAACCTTTACTGTGAAGATAGCTGAGACTTGGCGTAGGTTTCCCGGAGAGCCCCTATCCGTAAAGATATTCAATGGCCATCTGGACAGGGTCCTGGGCAACAGGGGGATAAGAGAGAATGATCTCCAGAGGTCCCTTCTGAGCTCAAATATTCCATGATTCTGTGATATCCTCCCTCGACCTGCTGGCAACGTCCTCCTGATGCAGCCAGGAGCCCATTGGCCTCCTTGGCCACGAGGGCTCTGCTGCCTCATGGTTAACTTGGTGTCAACCAGGACTCCCAGGTCCCTCTCTGTGGAGCTGCTTTCCAGCAGGTCAATCCCTAATTCCTGGGGTTATTCCTGCCCAGGTGCAGGACCCTGCACTTGGCCCTGTTGAACCTCATGAGGTTCCTCTCTGCCCAATGCTCCAGCCTGTCCAGATCCCTCTGGATGGCAGCACAGCCCTCCGGAGTGTCGGCCACTCCACCCAGCTTGGTGTCATCCACAACCTTGCTGAGCATGCGCTCAGTGCCCTCATCCAGGTCATTGATGAGCAGGTTGACCAGCACCGGGCCCAGTACTGATCCCTGGGGGACGCCACTGGCCACAGGCCTCCAACTGGACTCGGCCCCATTTATCACCACCCTGTGAGCTCTGCTGTCCACCCAGTTCTCAATCCACCTCGCTGTCCAGCCATCCGGTCCACACTTCCCGAGCTTTCCTAGGAGAAGCTCTGGAGAGCAGCTCTGTTGAGAGGGACCTGGGCGTCATGGTGGACGACAAGTTGACCACGACGCCAACGGATCCTGGGGTGCATTAAGAAGAGTTTCTCCAGCAGGTTGAGGGAGGTGATCGTCCCCCTCTACTCAGCCCTGGTGAGGCCACATCTGGAGATTGTGTCCAGTGCTGGGCTCCCCAGTACAGGAGGGATGTGGAGCTGCTGGAGAGAGTCCAGCGCAGGGCTACGAGGATGATCAGGGGCCTGGAACATCTGCCCTGTGAGCAAAGGCTGAGGGAGCTGGGCCTGTTCAGCCTGGAGAAGTCTAAGGAGGGATCTGATGAGTGTATACGAATACAAGGGAGGGAGAGAGGAGGAGAGGGTTGACCTCTTTTCAGTGGTGGCCACTGATAGAACTAGAGGAAATGGCCACCAACTGACGCTCCAAAAGTCCCCCAGGAACTCCATGAAAAATTCCTAGACAATGAGCGTGACAGAGCCCTGGAAGAGGCTGACAGGAGAGGTTGTGGAGTCTCCTTGTCCAGAGATCTTCAAAACCCGCTTGAATGCAGCCCTGTGCCACATGCTCCAGGTGACCCTGTGTGTGCAGGTGGGTTGGACTAGATGATCTCTAAAGGTCCCTTCCAACCTTAAGGATTCCATGAGGAAGGAAATCCTACCTGCTTAGGATGGTTGGAAAGTTCTGGAGCACGAATACCAATATGGGCTGTTGGAGTAAGCAACAGGCCAGTAGATAGAGGACAGTCCTTGGTGGCAAATCAGAAACAACACGGAGCCCTTGAAGCTATTTTTATGTGGAAAGCAAATAGTACCAATTCTTGCCTTGCTTGACAGATGGGGCAATTTCTAGTGTAAAAGATGATTTTGCTGAAGTTTGCACTGGACCTGTCTCCTAACGGGTAAGCTGGAAACCCGTCTATGGCCATGGATGGTTCTTGCTACATGAACCGCCCCTGGTGAACCAGCTTCAGCCAAATTTGTAAAATGACTAAACTGACTAGTTTGGGAAACTCATAGGAAGTTAGACTGTCTACTCGAGCATCGTTTTCAAGACCTCCCGAGTCCCTGTTGCAATACCAGTTCCTTTCCTAGCAAGTGATGCTTGTCACTCTATGACCATGGTTGAAGGCCAAAAAGGGACAGCAAAAATTAGGGCCACAAGAAGGAATGGGTGAAAACGAGGCTGAAAATCAGTAGGAGGACAGAAAAAGTCGTGGCGTTAAGAAAGGTCACTGTTTTCATGTTTACCTAAGCCCAAGGAAACAGGTCCTTGTGTCCCCTCTCTGTGGTCAAACAGGCCAATGACAGAGGTTCTTGGCACCATCGGTCGCAGAAACCTGATGAATGTCAAGCTTGGCATCGCTAAATGGCTCTGAGGAAGATATTTCTGTTGGTGCCATGTTCATAATTTGGACTTACATCTGCTCTGGAAGTGAATTCTGCCCCCGTCACCCGCCCTGGTCTCTTAGTGGCCCTGATCTCTTGGTTGACCCATGGCAACTCTTGGTTGGCCGACCAAGGGATGCCACCGTAGGGCCCCTGCTTGGAGAAACGCCAATGTTTGGCTGCTATAAATACTTCATCTACATTTTGCACACAATTTATTAGACAAATTAAAGGAATACTTCCAAACACCCTCCTGGTCCTCAGCAGACTCGAGCCCTTTCATGACATGGAGAAAGCATCCAAGAGAACGGGGTCCAAATTCCCATTTTTTTCCCATAGCCTTAAGCAGTGCTGCCTCTTCCACTTTCACTTCTTCCTTCTGCCTCTTGCACTGCCTCTTCCTTCCTTGTCCCCGTGCCGAGGGCGGCGGGACTCACAAAGCGGAGCACATTTGACTTCCTCAACGCTTTCGCTCCCATTTCTGCTCGGAGATTGTGCAACGTGGGAGTCATTCCCGGAGCACATTGAGCAAACAGGACCTACCAAGAAGAGCAGTGGAGAGGAAGAGCGAGGGGGAGGTGTTGCTGAGCATGGTTGAGGCTAAGCTTTGGAGATTGGGGAAGGTTGATGCATTTAAGTGTCTTCAGCTCAATCCATGTGATGGAATTGGGATGAAGCATCATCTGGGGGAAGAAGTGTCTCCAGTTCTGTCTCCAATCACAAGAGCTTCACAGAAGTCTTCACCGCTCACTGGCGTCCTGGGAGAGCTTTCCTTCATCCACAGGAGCGCGGCTATCTAAGCCTCAGGAGATATCCTCGCGTTGTCCATCCCTTTCACACCTACCGCGTCTGCAAGATAAAGGAGCAGGATGATGCATGGAGAGCACTGTCCCCCAGCCAGGTGCAACTCAAGCGCAGCAAGGAACTGCTGTGCTGATGAGCATGGGAAGCCTGGCTACGTTCTTCAGAAAGACCAAGCCCGTGACACACATTGGATCTTGCTCTTACCCGGGGAGCACGCGTCCCATCTTCCACACCTCATCCACAGATACAGCACCATCAGGATCCCACACAGCACGGCCACCACGCCGAGGACCCCCGCCAGCATGGAGCAGGACTCCGTGAGGTCTGTGGAAAGAGCAGCACTCAGGGAGATGGTGGTGGATGGCGTGTCAACCTCCAGCTTTCAGAGGGCTTTTCCCAAGGAGACCACAAACTCCAAGCTCCCTGAGATGCCTTCTGCTAATTAACCCCACTCTGTTGTCCACAATTGCTTTGTTCAGAACGCCTACATCTTGTCTACCTAATTCTCCCTACCAAGAAGACTTCTGACAACATCTCCCCCTTCCTGCAAAGGATCCTTGGAGATAGACAAGATTCTTCACCCCAACATGTCTTCTCAGTTTGGTGCCTGAGCTTCTCCTGGAAACCAGTTGACCACTGGTGCGAGCGGAGCAGTGCCGGTGCTCCACAAAGGGTGCAGAAGAACTCACCTATCAGCTCAGCACACACCACGCCAGCTGCAGAGCCGTGGTGACAGAGCCCCAGCTCCACCTTGTTCTGCTGGCAGGCCAGGAGGAAAGGCTCTGGGCCCCGGCAGTTCAGCCCTTCCAGCAAGGCCAGGCCTTTGTCCCGACCAAACTGGTCCCCAACGGGTGCAGACCGTGCTGGTCCACAGCCCAGCTGCCTGCAGACCACGTCTGCTTCCAGCAAGCTCCAGCTGGTGTCACACACTCCATACCACGTCGCGTTGTAGAGGACCTCCACGCGCCCCGCGCAGGAGCTTGGGCCGTCCTGCAGCCGCAGCTGTTGCAAGCCTGCAATGAGAACCACAAGGTGTGAGGAGGTCTCCTGGGCCTCCCCGACCTCCCATGATGTTCCATGAGAGATTCATCGTGGCGTTTAGGGAGGGATGATCTCCGACCTTCTCTAAGCTGTTCTTCCAGGTACCTGCTGAGTGCAAACCCAGTTCCAGCTGATCATTAGCCTCAACTAATTAATAATCCACGCCAGACAAAATCAGAAATTGTGTGGAAAATACCGCTAGTGAAAATATTTGGACATTGGATCAGTTTCCCATGGGTGTGATGGCCTGCTAATAACTAAATACCCAGGTTGTACATCTGCCCAAAAACTCTATCAAAAGCCACCATGAACTAAAAGAGTTGCCACCAGGTGAGTCAAAGAACCTCATGAAGCCCCTGAGGCTCGTGGACAAAGAGCTACACGAGGCTCCTACATGAGGAGCATGCATCCTGTTGCATGCTGAGGTCATGGAAGAGGAACACGGTCAGCACAAGGAACCAGACATGGCCAGGAACGCTTGGCAGATCCTAAAAACACTCAGCTCTTGATCTGACTTTAATTTAATCCTAGCCAGGGTATGACAATGCTATTGCTTCTCTTCTGGGTTGAGTCTGCATCATCCTGCCTCGGACAGGATGCCCCACAGCACCTGCAGTGGCAGGACATCTCCACCTAGGTAGCTAAAGACGACCTAAACTGGAATTGCTTCTCTTCCTAACTCCAAACCAACCTGTTCATTGTGATTTCCCATACTGGGTCCCGCGGCACTCACGGGGTTACCTGAGCACACCACACCGGCGTCTTCTTCATGGCCGCAATTATGTTCTCCCCAGCCTCTCAGGTTGCACTCTGCAAAGGTGGATTCGGTTCCTCTGCAGTGGACGCTGTCCAGCCAAATGGGGCCTAATCCTTTCCCAAAATGGGCGGATTCCAAGGCTGACAGAGCCATGCCACACCCCAGCTCCTTGCACACGACCGAGGCATCGTTTAGGTCCCAGGTGTCATCGCATATGGTTCCCCATCGCTGGTCGTGAAGAACCTCGACTCGCCCGGTGCAGTTGGTGGATCCATTTACCAGCCTGAGCGTTGATTGCCCCGAAGCGTCCAACTCTGTGACGAGAAGAAGAGGTGAGTTCATCCATGGTCCTTGACCATGGCTCCGGCCAGGCTTGGAAATGTAGTAAACCACAGGAAAATGAGAACATCCATTTGGACACGCAGCCGGCAGCTGCTAGGGATATGCCAGAAGAGAGGTCCTGTTGCTGGCTACGTTGCCAGGGATGGGTTGGGGTTGTCCAGTTATCAGCTCAGAGAAGAGGGGACCACAACTGCAGAGCTTGGGGCCAAGTGCCTGGCAAAGGGTGCTGGGGTCCATGGTGACTATCAAAAGGAAATGTAGGTGGAACTATCAGAAAGGGAATCATCTGAGGACAAGAGGAAATGGCCTCGGGATGTGCCAGGGGAGGTTCAGCTTAGACATTAGGAATAAGTTTCTCCATGGAAATAAGAAGTCAGTAGATCAGGCTGCCCAGGGAAGTGGTGGAGTCACCATCCCTGGTGGCATTCAAGAAACCCGTAGATGAGGCACTTGGGGACGCGTTTAGCAGACATGGTGGGGACGAGTTTATGGTTGGACTTGAACGTCCTTTTGCAGTCATAGTGATTCTGTGATTCTATGGTTTTAGTGGGCAGACAAGGCACTCGTTCTGTCTCGTTTTGCCCCAAAATCACACTAACACCGTGCTGGCGTCTTGCCGTCTGCACGGACACGGGGAAGGAATCTCCACCGCGGCACTGATGCCGTTGGCTGGAGAAGTTTTGACTCGGGTGGAAAAGGCACCAACCCCTGAGTGCCATAAAGTGTCAATGCTGCACCCAATCGTTACGGTTCTTAGACGCTCCGCTATGGGTCACCTGAGCACACCACACCAGCGTCCTCCCGGTGGTCGCAGTCGTTGGACCCCCAGCGCCTGGCCGGGCATTGAGAAAGGGCAGTTTCTGCCCCCGTGCAGTTCACGTCGTCCAGCCAGACGCGGCCAGACCCTTGTCCGAAGTGCGCCAAGCCGGGCGCCGAGACCGCCGCCCCGCAACCCAGTTGCCGGCACACCACGGCGGCCTCGCGTAGACCCCAGTTGTCGTCACACACCGTTCCCCAGAGGTAGTCGTGAAGCACCTCCACTCTCCCCGAGCATCGCCCCGAGCCGTTCTGCAGGCGCAACTCAGGCAACGCTTGGGTGGCTGCGTCTGTTGAGGGCACAAGGGGGAAGAGACCAAGGGCAACGTGAGGCCACAATATCTGATATTGCATCCACGGTGTCTACGAGAAAGGTGGTGAGAAATTTCCCTGGTGTTTAGAACAGAAAGTTCACACTTGGGTTCACAGAAAGCTGTTGAGGAACATCTAAATTCTGGGTCTCAACAGCACAGGTGAAGGCAAAGGAGCCTTCAGAAGCCTTGTTGTTCAGGCACCATCTGAACCACAGCATCACCACAATGGACTGCTAGGATATGTTCTAAGTTCCCCTAGATAGGTCTCCAGAACCTCATTGCATTGGCTTGGTGATCACAGCACACCACAATGATCTGCTAGAATATGCTCTAAGTTCTCCTGGGAAGGTCTCCAGAACCTCATTGCATTGGCTTGGTGATCACAGCACACCACAATGATCTGCTAGAATATGTTCTAAGTTCTCCTGGGAAGGTCTCCAGAACCTCATTGCATTGGCTTGGTGATCACAGCGGTTTATAATGGGAGGGGATGTCTGCAGACCTCACTGTCACTCCCCTTTCTCCTCCAAAAGGCCCCTTTGGTCTCTGCAGATCTTACGGGCTGCTGGTCACTAGGACCTGGGGGACTGTGGCCTTGCTAGGAGCTGCTCTGAAGGTCCAGTTGACGCCACCACCACTTACCAGTGCACACAACCCCAGCGTCTTCTCCGTGGTCACAGTTGTGCACGCCCCAAGGCCTGGCCTGGCACTCAGAGAGGGAACCTTCCGTCCCAGCGCACTGGACATTGTCCAGCCAGACGCGGCCGGATCCCTTGCCGAAGTGAGCCGAGCCCGGCGCCGCGATTGGCGTCCCGCAGCTCAGCTGCCGACACACCACTTGGGCCTCCAGAAAGCCCCAGTCGTCGTCGCACACGGTTCCCCACTGGTTCTCGTGCAGCAGCTCGACTCTCCCGGAGCAGCGGTTCGGACCGTTCGCGAGGCGGAGTGCTGGGGCATGAGGAGGATGGTCTGGCGGGTGGCCGGATGGGTCTGCAAAAATCCAGGGAAAAATAAAAACCACCATGAAAACGCCCTTGTTGATTATTTCTGGGCCACCACGTGGCCGTTCTGCTGTGCGCAGTGACTGCCCCACGCTTCTTGGTTGCACCTAGTGAGCGTGAGCACGCGGTTGCCTCTGGGTTGGGATGGAGCTGACCGCTGTTTCAGCGGGACCATGGCACATGAGCCCATGAGGAACCTGTGATCTTTCGAGCTGAGTTCCTAAAGATTTGGGGGCAGGAGAAGGGGGAAGGCGTTTTCCCTGGTGCTCATGGTTGACCCCGTCCTCGGTGCACAGGGAGGTGTCGGTTGGAGGTTTGGTGCACACCTGTGTGTCTGTTGAGACAATGTGGGCACAGGTAGAAGTTGTATGTTGACCATTGCCACAAATACGTGTATTTCTTTTAGCTACCGAGCAGGCTGTGGGGGAAGATGGTCTCTAGATCTTCTCAGATCTTTAGATTCCAGAGGAATCTGCAGGAACATCTGCCCTGAAGAAGCTTTAGATTCCAGAGGAATCTAAACATGGAAAAAACATGGAAACATGGGGAAAAAAATCCGTCCCGTATTCTGGTGACATGGAGGAAGAGTCTCTGAAAATCTCTCTCCTCCTGGTTCCTCCCGTGACCACCTGCCTTACTCTTCCTCTTGAAGCATGTGCCTAAATAATAGACATGTTGTCTCTGGCCCGGCCCTCTTCCTGGAAGAAAAAGGCAACCAGAAGAAGAAGCTCAACGTTCTGCTCAACCTGGAGATGGGTTTTTCACAAGGCGCCCCTTCTTGAGACCTTGTGTGGAGCAGAGGTCTCTCGCACAGGTGGAAGATTTGGGTTGGTGCCTATTGCGAAGGAACTGCGTGCTCTGGGAGCTCCGTGACTCCCCACCACGGCCTCCCCTTACCTGAGCACGTCACGCCGACATCGTCACCGTGGTCGCAGTTGCTCTTTTCCTCCACCTTCACTCTGCAGTGGGAGAGCGCGATTTCCGTCCCCGTGCAGTTGACGTCGGAGAGCCAGACGGGTCCAGTGCCGGCCTCAACCTGACCAGGTGTGGAGGCCGAGAGGGCTTGTCCACAGCGCATCTGGCGGCACACAACTTCGGCCTCCTTTAAGCCCCACTGGTTTCCACACACGGTTCCCCATCTGTTGCCGTAAAACACTTCAACTCTACCGGCGCAGCGGTGTGGTCCACCCACCAGCTGGAGAGGAACCCGCTGAGAAGCCGCAGGATCTGCAAGGAAGAGGACACCCAGAGAGGATCCAATGCGCGTGGAGGACAGGAGCACTGGGGAAGGCCATTTTGCTGGTTTTAGCCCCACACAACCTCTGGAAAGAGCCACTTGACCACTTGACATGGCTCTCCTTGGGCTGGGCAGAACAATCAAGGTTCCTTGAACCTCGATTGATGAAAATCAAGGTTCATTTTCGTTAAGAAAATGCTCTGTCGACGGTGTGGGTCTAATGGATGACAGCGCCTGTCTTCAAAGGGATTTGAGGTGGGACTTGGCAGTGTTGCTCCTTTCCTAGGGCTGGGATCAGGCTAGAGGAATTCTCACTCAATTAGATCCCCAATATGGGATCCAGATCCTAGATATCTGCAATAACTGCACCCAGAGCTACGGTCCTTTGGCTTTGTAGCTCTTATCCCAAGGGACATTTCCTTCCTGAGTCATGGGGAACGGGAAGCCCTGGAAAACTGAGAGATGTTGTGAAGTTTCCCGCTCACAGGAACCAGGACCCTCAAGGAAGGCGTGACAATCGGAAGGGGCCTTATCTGGAAGTCAGGGGCAAATGGGGCAGGTAGAAGGTGGAAAAGAAGGAAAAAATAGGGCAAAACTCCCATGTCCTGTCTGCAAGCTGGAGAGCTCCAGAGTGAAGGTCGAGCAAGCTGCTCTTGTTTGTGCCGGAGGAAACGGGACTTTGTGCTCTACCGTGATAAGAGCGCAGAGCAACACGGAGAAGCGGCCAACACAAATAACCCCGTTTTGGTCCTGAGCAAACAGGCCCCGAGCGTTTCCCAACAGCTCCGTGCAAGGGCAGGTCCGGAGGCCACATTCGTTAGACAAGAAGGTCTTCTTCGCCACCAGACTTTTGCTTTGGAGGCTGTCGCTTCAAAGGATCTCTCTGTAGAACCAGCGCGCTGAGGGAGGTTACGGAGCATCGGCCACCGTCCTCTTGTCCTCATCTGTCCACTGCCCTCCCGTCCCAGCCTCGGGATCCAGCCGTGCTGGCCATCCCCCCCGTTCCTGAGGACAACATCTCGCCCTTTCCCAAACGGAATGCTCTCCCGGCTGCAGTTCCTCCCACGTGAGGGCTGGAGGGACCCTGGAGATGCAGGATAACTGGAGGAGAGAGTCACTCACCGTAGAGACAGGCGAGGTAGATGAGGAGCCCAACTCCGGTGTATCTCACATGGGTCTTCTGGAGGGGCAACAGGCAACGTCCGGAGAACTCCATGGTGGTAGCGCACTCCTTAAGGTAGGCAATGATCCTAAGGAGAGCGGAGAGCCGAGCGAGGGGCAGCCGGAAGGTTGGGAGAGCCGGTTTGTCCCCTCCTCTGCAGCGACCTGCCCCGGTCCCATCCCGCCTCCCGGTGGGATCCCTCCTCCCTGCACCCCCTGGGGACGAGCCGGGGTTTGGCGCTGGGTTTGGAAGCTCTCGGAGCGGCCTCGCCGCTGCAGCGATTCCTGTTGGCTTCCCCCTCCCCGGCTTCCCTGTCATATCACATCAATCGAGGTCAATGGCATCCTGGGTGCATTAAGAAGAGCAGGTCAAGGTCTCCAGGTCAAGGAGACAGTCGGTCTCCAGTAGGGAGGTGATCGTCCCCCTCTACTCAGCCCTGGTGAGGCCACATCTGGAGTCCTGTTTGCAGTTATGGGTTCTCCAGGACAAGAGGGACGTGGAGCTGCTGGAGAGAGTCCAGCGCAGGGCTGCAAGGATGATCAGGGACCTGGAACATCTGCCCTAGGAGCAAAGGCTGAGGGAGCTGGGCCTCTTCAGCCTGGAGAAGACTAAGATGGACCTATAGATCTATAGGGTGTCCATAAACACCTCAAGGGAGGGAGAGAGGAGGTGGGAGCTCCTGCATTCTTGTGGACACCCAATGGCAGCCGTGACCTTCTCCAGGCTGGTGGTGGGAGAACATTGACCGCACATCCACCGCACGGGAGCAGGAGGGAGCTCCTCGGAGGTGCTGATGGTGCCATCGAAGGCAGCGGCCCGTGGTGGCCTCCGCGGTGAGGCCTCCAGGAGGAGCTTCCAGCTTCCCCAGGGAGCTCCTGCCCCCAGCGCACGTGGGCTCTGACCGTCTCCAGATGCCACCTTGGCGCCCACCCGCACCCTAAGGACCCTTCACCCCAAGGACCCCCCATCCCATRGACCCTTCACCCCAAGGACCCCCCACCCCATGGACCCTTCACCCCGATGTCCTTTGGGTCTTCACCCCAAGGACCCTTCACCCCATGGACCCTTCACCCCAAGGACCCTTCACCCCAAGGACCCTTCACCCCATCTCCAGATGCCACCTTGACCCCCCACCCGCACCCCAAGGACCCTTCACCCCA